AAGCTGGTGGATTTTCCATCCAGCTGTAACATTAATCCATTAGCTGAAGAGGAGACAGGGTCCTTCTCATTTATTATTTATAAGACAGGGCATGCACAACTTATCTGACATCATCCTTGTCACAGCTAATGAGACACTGAAATAAATGCATCTTTGTGGATCTCTCACAGAAGATATAAAAAATCTCAGATCTAATGATCCATTTTTCTGCAGTAGGGAAGGGCGTGCTAACCTACACAACTAAATAGATTATTGTATATGATTATTGTATATGACTGTGTATGTCCCAAAGGGATGGGCTTTCCACAACACTATTTGAGGGATGTCCCTGTGTCCATATACATATATTGTATCAATATCAAACAACCAGCACAAGTCAAAGAGATGTTTTTACCATCAACAGGAGTATCCAAAACAAACCAGAAAGCAACTTAAATAATTTAAGTTCTTCAGCTCTTAAATCTACTTTACTATGGTGGATCAACAGTGTTAGGCTGAGATCCTGCCTGGCACAGGGTGGGGTAGCACAAGCCAGTGCCAAGATCCTGGGAACCATTTTCAACACCAGTCCAATATGAGCATGAAGGTAGTGAGCTGAAAAATGCTGGTACCTGGAATGAGACTACATCACTATATAGTGCAAAAGTCATCCTCCAGCGCACATCTTGCTCTCTCTCTTACCCATGGACTGCCCTAGACAGAGAGCCTGGCTCAGAACACACAGGCAGGAGCATGGCTGCACCTCTGAATACAGAGAGCTAAGGACATGAGCAGTACTTAGTTCCCTGCCTCTTATTTTGCACTACATCTGTGGCCTGGAGAGTAAGAGAAATGCAAAATGCTTCTGGAGGATTGGGGCATGCTGGGGACATTGCAGTTACAAAAAAAACCCCATGGCAGTTGGTCAGAAGTGGTGATTCATGTGGGAATTGTCCTGATATGGAGACAAAGAGCAATATGAAGGGAGAAATTTGAGAAGGAAGGGTAAGGTTTACAGAAGGCATTTTATGGGGAAAGGGGAGGTAGCACAAACAAGGATCAAGGGCACAATCCTGCAATTCCCCTTCTCTCCCATCTGACATTAGCAATTTCTTTCATAGTGTGAATGATTTTATGGGATAGGATTTGGCAACAGCTGGTGTTTTCTTGCAAAGTGCATCAGACCACTCTGAAGTGACTATCACATTCCCCAGGATCTCAGCTTACATCGTTTAAAATCTGACAATAATTTTGCTGTTATCTCTGCAGAGCTCCACATTGCACCACACATAACTAACAAAGAGACTAACAACGAGGTAAATTAGCCTGTCCTAAGAGATAAATTAGCCTGTTCTAAAATGAAAAAAAGTACAGGCTGTTCCTTTTGCTTCACTGAAGTTTTAACTAAAACTCTGGTGTGGTTTAATCCCAGCTGGCAACTAAGTACCATACAGACACTTTGCTCATCCATCTTCCCCCAGTGGGATGAGAAGAAGAATCAGAAAGAAGGTGAAACCCATTGGTTGAGATGCGAATAGGTTAGAAAATGTAATTAAACAACAATAACTTTCATGCAAAGGAATACAACAAAAAGAGAGATAGAAACAAAACCCAAGTGAAACAAGTGATGCACAACACAGCTGCTGACCAATGCCCAGCCCACCCATGGGCAGCAACCAGCCCCTCCCACCAGCTTATATACTGCACATGACATTCTATGGTATGGGATATCCTTTTGGCTAGTTTGGCTCAGCTGTCCTTGCTGTGCTGCCTCCCAGCTTCCAGTGTGCTTCCTTGTTGGCAAAGCATGGAAAACTGAAATGTGCTTGATTTAGAGCAGGCACTACTTAGCAACAACTACAACAACAGCGTGTTATCAACATCATTCTCATACTAAATCCAAAACACAGCGTTGTGCCAGCTACCAGGAAAAAAATTAACTCTGTCCCAGACAAAACAGCGATTTAAATACTAACTTTGTTATTTCCTTCCTCATGGGAGACCAGAGTGCAAAAGCTCTGACCTTTGCTATTTTCCACCAGCTGTCATATCTGAAATAGGTGGTGATTGGTATATGTAGCCAGCTGTAACATTCTCCTGTAAGAAAAAATAAACTAGATCTTACCACTGAGAGGGGCCTGAGGCACATTCATGCCCTCCTGTGAGATCACCAGTGGAGATCAAAACACCTGGCCCATCCTCTCATGAGTGTAATCATCACCTATCAGAAATAATTCCTTATTTTGGTTTCACTTGGGTGGAGAAAGTTTCTACAGGTAATTTTAGGGAAGATAACTAAGCCTCATTTGTTTCTAGTCTGACCTTCATGGCTGCACATTTTTTTGCACATAAACAAATGTAGGTCTTCACAGACAATGTGAAATCTTCCTTTCTCACAGCTCTGGTGTATCACCATCCCAAACAACTTGCTAAAAGTTCCAAACAATAACCATCTTCTGCTAAACTGATCAAAAATAAGACAAAAAATGCTAATGAACTAGATCACCCCATTAAAGATTTAGCTCAAGACTGCTAAAGGGTGAATATATCCATTAAATACAGACTTGGAAGAAAAATGTCAACCTACTGTACCAAATAATTGTGTGAGTTGTTATATTTCTTAGCTGAGGCAGAAATAATTGCTGAATAATTGTGTGTGCAACAAAAAATATTTCTGAGTGAATTAACACTTTTTTCAAAAAAGATTTTAAAATCTTCCAAAAGATCAAATATTTCAAAATCTGACATGCATGTCTTCAATTCTGTGTGTTATTCCAAGGGTTCATGCAAACTGAGCAACCAGACACTGTTTAAACTCTTAAATAAAATGCTCTTTTGCCTTATAAAGCCTAGATTTTGTATATTTTAACAGAAAAACGAATCCAGTATTTTAGAAACTCTGCTTTTGAGAATAGGGTCCAAGGGCCCCCAAAAACTGTGAAGTTCAATGATAATGGGCTACTTTTAGATATGTTGTATATCAGGGTTTTTTGGAATTGCTGCTGTGCTTCCGTTAATGGAAAGAAAATACCATTCAAACCTGAGCATCCGTATTATACTTTATAATCTGTATTATACTTTATAATTCATAATTATACTTTATAAATCTGTGCCTGTTGCCTTGGAGGTCATGAAAAAAATCACATCTAAGAAACAGGAAAACAATCAAGAAAGGACAGAGAAACAAATGTTTTTGAGTTGTCCCCCAAAATGCCAAATTCACCCCAGTGTAATTCTGCTGAAAACAATGGAACTACACAGGAGCTGAACTTTTCCTACTGTCTTTATACAACAGTAAGAAGAAAGGAAAACTATTTTATCCTGCACCTTCATTTCATTTTCATTTAGGTTAACAGAACTTTGCTATGTGATTGAGGGGATTTTTTTTAATTTTGCATTCCTGCAAATGATAACTTTCTTAATCTTTGGAAATCCTGTTTCCAACCAGAGATTCTAGTCGGTGTTGAGAGGGTGACAATCCTGACACAGGAGAGGAAGGGGCAAGAATGAACACCGACAATACCAAGCTTCAGCATTCACAATGACTGCCAGAGCACTCCCCAGGTAACAGTAATTTCCTATAAGCTCATTAAGGGATAAATCTGGCTTCTTATAATTCAGTTTCTGATAGCAAGCAATAAGAAGTTGTTTTGCAAATAGACAGCTGATGGAGCTCTCGTACCTCTGGGAATACAAGGTGAGGGCAGCTTACAAAGCAATGATGGTAAAACTTCCCTGTGAGTTCCTTGGTGTGAGGAAGGCTCTGCCTTAAATCCCCACCGAGATGATCAGTGTGATGGGGCAGAAATGCATTACCTTGTAGCCCTCAGCATCAGGAGCTGCAGTTCTGCCAGGTCCTAAAAGAGATGCACAAAGGAGGCTCCTCCTTGCAACAACTACCCACCCTCCCTAGCAGGCCCACACAGGCTGCTCATCACCATGTCACCATCACCCCGCTGTCACCTCCCCGACACAGCAGTGAGATCACAGGATGAGATCTCCCAAGGGTTCCTGCAGGAGCTGCGTTAAGCACCAAGGTGCAGCCGCAGAAGACATCAAATAGACGAAATTCTCTGCCTTAGACCAAATCACCATAGCTTTATGCAGCACTTATGAAAGCAAAATTAATATTCTCATGAAATAACAAGGAAATACTCACTACATGAGTTTTTTCACTCTGCTGATGTGTGTGGTTTTAGATACAATAAAAAATTTTGTCTGATTACCAAAATAATTTGCTGAGAAAGGCAGTGCAGTAAACTTGCCTTAGCTCTGCTTTTTCTCTTGTTTTTAAAGCTAGATCATTACTAGATCATTAGGGCATATGCAGAATAGAAAAACAGCAAATCATTTGCCAGAGAGAAAGGCATTGGATTTCTGTAAGAAAAAGGCTTACATTTAAAAATATATACATCTACTTCAGCTAGCAACAGACCAAAGTGTAGGGAAGCGTACATTCCTTTGAGTAATAAATCATACTTGGCAGTTTCTTTGGGAGAGCTGTGTTAAGAACTAGTCTCCCAATAGTAACACACAAAGCTATTGAAATTTCATAAACTTTCTACAACAGCATACATGAGAAAAAAATTAAAGTAAAGAAGTTGGCATGAAGGAAGTTTGTATAACAAATAATTCTAGGAAGTGTGAAAAAATGTATTGTGCATCCTTGTGCTTGAAGGCAGAGCTGAAATTCAGCGAGAGGCCTTTGCATAAGGAGGGTGGTGCTGCAGCAATCTGCTAGCACATCTATAGAGCAGAGCCCAGATAAGCCATCAGGAAAGGAGAATAAGCTCATGTGCACAGTCTGCTCTTCATCCACCCTACCAACACACTGCAGCCTGTGAGTCACTCAAAAATCCTGTAGAGACACAGACAAGAGTTATTTGCTTAAATACACTATGAAACGTGTCGCAGTTAGTGCTCTCTCCACCTGTAAGTACTAAAAGCATCAGGATACACATAAAACAAATCCCACAAACAACTGCAGTGACCACGGGATCTGCTGTTGAGCTCGTACTTACATTACAGCATCGGCCGGGACAAAACTCGGCATTTAACTATTTCTTCGTAAGCTGCTTCCACATGCTCGTCTGCTCATTGTGCCATTCCTTCCATTGATTGCTTGTGTTTGACAGCATCTGGACTGCAAAATGATCTTTTGCCTCCCACTTTTGCAAAATCAGCAGGCTGCGGAGGGATGCGTGACCACTGCTGCAGCCGATGTATCCAAACAGCCCAATGCAGCAGAGGCTTTAGCTCCCCCTTCCCAGCCTGGGCTTTTTCTTTCTTTGTCTGTGTGGGGTTTTTTTTTAAAGAGATATGGTCCTGAATAACCTCAGGTTTCAGGAGCACAATACAAGTTCCAGACACAGGACAGTCAAACAGATGTGGAAGGAAATCAAGACAGAACGCCAAAATAACACAATTTTAAGAGACGTTACTAAAGGCGTAACATGCATTTGAACTGTTTCCTGTAATAGATCAAATTTTGTGATTGGTTCTGTTTAATTCAAATTTTTCTTGACATTTTGCTGCTTTATTTCTTCACTTTTTTTCATTTTTCTAACTTACGCAATAAATAGGCTTTCTGGTTATTTATTTCACTCTTTGACTCCCCTTCTGTGTCAAAGAATGTTTACATTTTAAATGTTCACAATTTGAAGAAGTCCTCTGTTAAAACTTCTGTCTATATAGTAGTTTTAGAAAATATCTTTACTGTTCTGCCTCTGTTTTGCCAACATGGTATGCTCACAGTCTTTAGAACTTAAAATAATTTTGTCGGTGCTGATTACATCAAGAGTCAGAAGTCTGTGGGCTACCAGTAGCATCTCGTGTGTGGTTTCTCTTTTCCAAGCTGGCACAGGTAGCTGTTAGCACTTCCACATTTTCAAACTTATCTCCTAATTAACTTCACATTCATATTCCTATTCATGTGATCAATTGCTTAAAGCAGACCTCAGCAATTAAGGCATTTCTAAGATTTTTCGTTCTCTCCCCTTGTTAACCTGTCAGGTTGTCCTCCAGGAAAACCAAGAAACCTTTCCTTTGAGAGACCTTCTAATCTTGTCAGTTGTGTTTTTGAATTCCACATTCAAGTGCAGAATGCTGCCTCTCCCCTGGATCCAGCAGCCTACTGCCAGAAACACATCATTCCAACCTGTCAGTTTTCCTTTAAAATGCTGGACTAACACAGCACTTCACAGGAGCTTCAGGACTGGCTGAAAGGATGAGATTAGGGATTTCTACAGAATCTGGAGCTCTCTTTTCCCTCTGCACTCCTGAGCTACACAGGTGATGGACTAGAAATATCTGCTCTATGGGTAATGTCAGCAGAGGCAGAAAAAACAAACACAAAGTGCTAATTCAGCTTTGTACAGACAGAGGACTCCTCCTTAGACAACTCCTGGACTTTACTACAACTCTGCTGCTTTTGATTAGAATAACTTGTTTTCCTGCCAAGGAGCTGAGGCTGACTTCTGTCACGTTGAAGGTCAAAGTAACATTGCAAATACTAAGAGATTAGTGCTGCATTGTATAAAAGAAAATATTACTCTTCCAAGGAAAAGAAGTCTGTTACATATTAAAGTACATCTGATAGTAAGTGAAATTATTTGTGTTATCAGGAGCAATTTACCCGAGAAGGACAACATCCTTCCATTTGGGGTCCTGATCATGAAAGTTCAAGAGGAGCTGAGCATAAGTAAGCCACAACACTGTTGCTACAATATTGCTTTTTGCTGCATAGAGATCAAAGAAAACACATTTTTCTGGTCATCATATCTCACCTTTAACCACAGAAACAGCAAGAAGCCCTCTCTGAGTTCAAGTAAACAAAAGGACATTGTAACCAGGCAGAGCAGACTATTTAGCCAGGAAAACATGTGGTGCCAGTCTCCAAAACATTGCCCCACTGGATAAACTCCTGCAGCACAATGATCTCACACAGCTGTCGTGTTGCTCCTAAGTGTCACTGCTGAAAGGATTGGCCCCAATGCAGTGGCACTCTGAGAACGACCTTCCTGAGCAGGGCACACGTGTCTGCTGCAACTGCCCGTGGCCATGCTGGCCACATAGGCCAGTAGCATGGCATCAGCCCTGTTTATCAATGTCACATTCTGAATGCAGAAAAAAATCCATATGGGGGGTGGCAATGAAGCTACAGATGACACAGGAAGCATTGCAAGGATAGGAGGCAATGGTCAAAATAAAAATGCTTTAAAAGCACTCTGTCACGAAGTGCTCAAATCCTTTTTAAGCAGCAGGCATAAAGAGCCCTCCTTTGAAATTCCATTCCTAGAGTGAAAATAGATTGCGAACGACTGGCATTATTAGCAATCTTCTTATAGAAGAATGTCAGCTGAGGGCAGCCCTATGTCTGAAAACTGAGCCTGAAAAAGCAGCTGGGCTTCCCTCATGAGAAGCAGGTGAAGGGCAAATTTCCCCTCCAGGGACATTTTAAAAACAAGGGCAAAAATAAATATTTGATTGATGCATTCAGCATCCCAGCTGTGAAAATCAAGTAAAATTAGAAGGCTCATTGCTGCTGCTGAGTTTCTCATTGCTGCTGCTGAGTTTGGTATGACTTCTATTGGTGCTGACATGGGTGAAGTACAGCCAGCTACTTAAATTGGTGGCCTATGAAGCTGATACCTTGTAAAGTTCACCTGCCTCCTCTTTCAGTCAGAAGCATTTTTCTTATTTCTCTTCCTCTTTAATTTCTCTTCCCTCCTCCTCAAATGGGACAGCTCCTCTCACACAGTACCCACAGCATTAGCAACCTCTCTATGTTGTCCATGAAGGGAGAGGCACAAAGTCACATCCCCGGATGCCTCTTGGGCATTCACTGTGGCAGTGGCGGAATGGGGAGAGCTGGGTTCCCAATGGGCAACACTGGGCTGGAGACAGCCAAAAACACCTCACTCACCCTGCCACATACAGGGCCATTGTCACATTCCAGTACAAGCAAATGATTTCATCATCCAGATGCAGCTCACAGCCACTCCTGTAATGAGGGGAGCTGAAATCTTCCTCAAGTGTTTGTGTACTGCATCTAGGTAACAGACCCAGTTCAGAAGGTACAAGAGCATTCTGACTGCTTTAACTGTGGAAAATCTCATAAGACCTGACCCAACCACCCTGAGGAATATGAAAAAAAAAATGCAAAATCTTAATCAAAATTAATTTTTATAGTGGGCTCTATTTCCTCCACCATTTTATTGGATTTTCCCAGGCATTGCAAGATCACACTCCTCAGCTGTAGAAGGAGGACTGGCAATTTTCTGTTTAATTCTTCTCCCCAGCCCCCAGTATAGCCAGCCTCCAATTAAAGGGAATAAAAATTAAATCCAGCCATAAAACCTTCCTACAAAATCCATGTGTAAGAGACCTGCACTATGTGACAGCCAAGATTAAGTGGAGTCTTTGAAGCTGATGAATGTATAACAGATGACTAATCAGTGACACTTGAAGATAAGCTCAGTTGTTGACCACCTGAAATAATTTTTCTAAATATCAACAATATTGACAGGGTTTTAATCCTCTGAGGTTAAATATATGGAGCTGCATTAGCTGGATCTTGTAGTAAGATCATTGTAATACTTGGAACAGCAAATTCTTCACAACCTGCTTCAGCTGTCTCAAGTGACTCACGTGTGGTTTAAAGCTGCTACAAGGAAAAAGTTTTTTAAGAAGATAAAATATGAGGAAGATGTGACCTAACTGAAAATTCTCCAGTACTGTGAGTGCCGAGGCACCTGATTTTCCTCTGTTTTAGATTGAAATTGTGAATTCTTACTTTGTAATTGATCATATCTGCGGTAGACCTCTTGTTAACCTAGATAAAAAGACAAAAATGTAATAAATTAACATTTCTAGGCTGTGATCCAGGATGATTAAAATACCGTCTTGCCCAGGCTATTAGTGCCATAACAATTATAATGCCAGCAAGGCCAGGCAATTAGTGTTTGTGTGATTAAAATACCAGCCTTGTCTTCTAGAGCCAGAGTGATTAGTATGTTGCCCGTCCTAGCTATTAGTTTTAGCACCACCAATGGTGTGGAATTTTATAGTCCTTTGAGAATTAATTTAAGCTCATATTAGCTTGACATGATGCTTTTCCTTTACCTATTCTTTACCTCATTGAAATATGCATATTTCAAATATTTACATAATCATATGAAATTTGTTTGTTTGTACCACCATGATAATGGAAGGTTTAACATATTGTCTGTGTAGGAGGAGTCATGAAAAGACTGGATTATCAAGTAGGAATTCCAAGCAGGGAAATTAAAACAATGATGAAATTTGTTCACCCTCTGAGTAAAACTTAAATGCCAGCTCAGTCAGTCCCTGGCATGCAGCCAGAGCTGTGCAGCCTGACTGACCCCATTTGCCCAGGGCAGTGGATGCATTAACCACTGCAGTGCAGTGCAGCCCTCTCTCCATCCCGAGATGGATGCAAAATGTGTGGGTGGCTCCACGGGGAGATTTGGCTTTGACACCAAGTGTTCAAATCCAGGAGATGGGCTTTTTCTATGATAAATACTTAAAATATCAATGAAAGGAAAAATTTAACATTAAGGGCAAAAATGTCAGGGCAGAGACCTTGGCTTAGGCTGTCTAGGAAAAGTGGGACCACCTTTGCTTGGGGTAGAAGCAGAGACCTACAGAAGGCTGAAGCCATGTCACAGCAGATTATTGGGCTGTAGCACTCAGGCCATAGTATTCAACTCAGAATTGCACCTACACTGCATCCTAGGATCTGTGTAGTATTCATATTTATGTATTTCTATATATACACTCCATACTCTCTATATAATCATATATGCATATTGGCCATTTACTGCAAGTCTGCATTTTCCATTATTTAATCAACTCTCCAGATATCCACTCAGTCTTATTCTGTGACCACTTTGAATTCCTAAAAAGCCTTTGGCAATGGACTCAAATGCCTTTGGAATTCTAGATAGACAGTATTTCCTGTATCCCTTTATGCTGTTCTTCTCAGCTCAAGTAAGCATGTGAGGTGTGATCTGCACTCACAAAATTCATGTTGACTTTCTCATAGTGTCATAGTTATTCATGTGTCCTCTTATTTTATTCTTTATTATAAATCTTGTAGAAGTGTCCTGTAGAGATAATAAAAATACTAGTCTGTAGTTCCTGCTGGAACCCTTTGTGAATAATGGTCCCATCAGTTGCTTTCCAGCACTGTGAGAAGCAAAGGGTTTTGAAGGGAAAGTTCAAGCATAG